GAGACCTGCGAAAAAAGAAAACCAAATCTGCTGAATAGTATGTGACGAGAGGCGGAATGAGAGGCGGATGGTTACTCCTGAGCGTCTGACAGGCAGCTGAGGGTTTGTTCAGTCAGCGGAGTGGGAGAGAGAGATAACATTTCTGGAGGATTAGGGGCAGGAAATAAAAGGCAGAACCAAATAAAGAAGAAAATGCGTTGGGTTGGCCAAAGTCAGGGAAGGAAGGAGAGAAGAGATGATGAGTGAAGGATCGGGACAGAGAAGATGTCACAGAGACAGAGAGGGAGTAAACTCCTGTTAGCGACCTGATCAGAACGACTGCTTTTCTTTTTTAGCTTTAAATGAGTCAAACCCTTCAGGAGTTTTGTCTCTGTGATGTAGATGTGAATGTATAAACAGAAAGTGATGGTTTGAACAAAGCTGCTCACCTCTCCTAACATACTGTTAAATTGTATACAGGCAGGAATCTACTAGGTTATATGAATTTCAACCTTCTTTTATTTTTAGTCAATCTGCCAATTATTTTTTACAACTAACATTTTTTTTATTAATTAGTCTGCCAATACATTCTACATGAATCAATCATGTCTAGTAAATGTCAGAAAAGACAAATAAATATGCCTGATAAAATTTAAATTAAAAAAAATATATATATTTAAAAAACTACACAATTTATATAGTCACAGGTGAGTTAAAAGTTTGGTGCTTAAGCTCAAAAATTTACTGAAGTAATACATTTTCTGTCAACTGACCAAATTGACTTATTGAATTGTCATTGCAGCTTTATATATTACTACTACTACTACTACTACTAATGCAATGACTACTAATACAGAATAAAAACTAAATCTGCTGATAGGTTTGTTCCTGGAGTAATATTGTTGGTTTTTAGTGTATAACAAAAATGTTGTTGATATCGTATTTCTTTTTTATTTCATAATTGTAATTATAATTTTATACTACAATATTTATCCCCAGGTTGCTGTATCAGATGTTAGTGGTTCCTTTTACACTCAAAAGCACAAAAGGTCCAATTTCGTAACTGTGCTGAATTTAAAGATCAGCAGGCAGAGAGAAGAGGAAAGAGAGTAGTGGGACAGGAGTGTGTGTGTGTGCCTGTGTGCGTGTGTGTTTGCGGGCGTTGCATCACAGGAAACAAGCTCTCCATCCTGCAGTTGAATGTTACCCTTTGGCCTTGGATCAAATGCTTCTCTGGCCTGAATACCATGAAGCCTCTGTCCTCTGCACCACGCACTGCTCTGCATTGCACGGACCGTCTGAGGGCCTGCAGGAGGGGGGGGGGGGGAGCAGAGCAGGGAAAAAGAACAGCAGGAGGAGGCAGGGAGAGGGGGTACATGGGGGAGAAAGCAGGAGAAACACAACAACTGAGTAAAAAGAGCACTCAACGTTCAGCGAAAGCACATATAAGCTGGCTGTAAACAAGTCGTATTATTGTTCTCTGAAAGCACGTAGACACACATCTTGTTAAAATGTGAAACCAGAGACCCTCACTCTCTCTGACTCTCTCGTCTCTGCTGCCTGCCCAACTGGCAAGCTGTTAAATTGGGGAGAAGTCTTTCCTATTTTTAGCCCCACGCTAGATGGAAGGAAGGAAAAGCAAACAGACAGAAGCTGCACGCGCAGAGACAGAGAGGCAGACACACAGAGAGAGAGGGAGAGAGAGGGAGGAGTGACTTATTTGTGAAGTCCTGCAAGTTTGGATGACTGGCTCATTGGTGTCTGAGGAGGACACATGGCTAGACTGGGCAGAGGGCAGAGCTTGGAGGTTTTCTCTCCCACAAACAGCAGCTTGTAATCCCTCTTCAGTCTGTTCTTGGATATAACAGAGCTGTTTAAGTTCTCCGAAGAACTTCATGAATGCCTCTTTGCCTTCTTGAGGGAGCTGAAGGTAAAGAAGCGGCTTACAGGAGGATTTCCCCGCCATGGAATGTTGTAGATTTTCGAACAGGATTGTAGGAAGTTTTTCTTCCCCCTCTTGGGTTTGGAGCTGTGGGTCTAGATCCGGAGAGCGTGTGCGCTTCTTAGAATTCCCTCAGAGACTGGGAACATTAAAGTGGGAGGACCGTGGCTCTGGTAATGATTTAATGGAAGAGCAGCCACCTCTGGCCATTTAAAACGTGCACCCACATATTTTTTGCACTTACACTCATCCAGACGAAGGAATTCAGGATGCGGCGCTTTGACAAGCTGAAAAAGTCATTCCCCTTCCTGGCACACTTTCACGTATATCGAGTAAGTCTGATGTCTGCTGCGCCTGTCAGCTCCGCAGTTTAATGCTTCTGTAATATGACATGTATCATGTGGTTCTCCCAGATGTTAGAATGCAACATTTGTATCGTGGATGTGTGTGTGTGTGTGTGTGTGTGTGTGTGTGTGTGTGTGTGTGCATTTCTCCACCACCATGTGGAATGATTTCAGGCCAGAGGCATTTCTCAGCAGGGGCATCATGTTGTTTCTCTGCATAAAAATTCCTACATCCCTCCTTCCTCCTCTTGCCTCCATGCTTGCTTTTATAAAAAAAAACTGTGCTCCTCACCACAACTTCTAGAAATAACATGATACGGTAGAGCCAAGTCCTACTTGGAACTTCTGGCCCTGGTGGGATTCCTCAGAGTCATTCAACAAGTCACACCTAACAGTTTGAACATAGCATTTCTCTTGCTGACCTCACACCTCTGCAGTATGCATCCTCCTCTTCTTATCCAATATAAAGATACAATTTAAGATGTTTTGCATATTACAATAAACCACACTTTACACTTTTTCTCCTCTAAAAGTGTCAGTTGGTTCAAATAGTTAAGATAGAGCCCATCACCATCTTAAGCAGCTCTATAAATGGATGTATGACATTGTATTCCGATGCAGCACCCTTCTCAAAACAAACAAGAGCAAGATAAATATCCTGGCTTAATGAGTTTTGTGGATGAGTTAGTGGGTTTACTGACATATAAGACAAGGCTATAGCACTTAGAGTTTTTACCCATATCCCCCCCGTTATGACACTGTCATGGAAAAAGGCCCAAGAGGAAGCTGACTTGCGTCTTTGGCACCGTCCAGTGAAATAACACTGACGTGTTGGCTGCCAGAGAAGATCAGACTTGGAGCTGCTCTGTGGAGGATCATGGGAGTAATAGTTCATGCCCCATAGACAGAACCCACAGATGAATATTTTTGTGCATTTATTTTACATTTCAACAAATCAACGTTTTAGTTATCAGTGGAAATCATCAGGATAAAAGGTGAGCTTTACACTTTATAATTATGAACGACAGATCCAGTAAACATGCCACATGCTAGCAGAGCCTCTGGCACAGCTTAGCACATATTGGACCAGCCCGACCAACTGTAGTATCGCCTTTCTCAGGGTAAGGGTCAGGCATGATCCAGCAAAATGCAGAATATGGTGATGGATTCAAATGACTGCAGCTGCATTCAATCCTAAAGCTGGACTTTTAAAGGTTATTATATTACCTCAGATTATTTACTCGCTATGTGGGAGTACCTCTTATTTCTGCTCATTTCTGCTGTCAACAGTCACCAGGATTTATGTCCAGGCTAACATCAAATAATGATCTCTCAGTCCTCACAGAATTTTTAACCGGAACAAATGGACAAAACATCCTGCTGACAAGAGAGAGGAAGAGTCAAAGCTGCATGTGTGGACATTTCTAAAGACATATCAGTTAACCCACTTTTATGGGCTTAGCTATGAATTTGTATCAGGATACAGACATCTGGCATAACCATTGGGGATCCCTGCAGTCTGTCCTCACAGTCAGACTTTTGCATCTAGAAAGTACAGGACCAATCATTCTGAAGTGGCATGGTAAACATATAAACATGTGTATATTCAGTCTGTAGAGATTGATCATATGCAAACTGTATTTTTTATGAATTCCTGACTTGAAAGTCCTCTAACTCACAGTCACAGTCATTAAGCAATAGGAAGTGACCTCTAACCAAGCCCATTAAAAGTTTAAATGACAGAGAGGAAGCTGTGACCCCTCTGACATTTTCCTTTGGACCATGTAACCTTGCCTCAGCCAGCACAGGAAGTTCCTCAATCGCAGTCTAATTACCACTCGGTGGACTGACCCCCACGCCCCAGAGCATCCACCCTGAAGGTCTCCCAGTAAATCTCAACAGATTAGGAATGTTTGTCATTTCTGTGTTGATAAGGTTGGTTGACGGGCTCACTGCGATGAGCCGGTGTTATGGGAGAGCTGATGAGCTCTTGTCATGGGTCTTAAACTCAGCATTCTGTGAAGAATGAGCTGGTTACATTGAGCAGACAGTGATGGATGACGTTTTCAACTCTGGTGTTTTGTTTTGACGTTGAAGATTGATGGTCTGACTCAGTGTTGTATGGAGGGATGTAGTATATATATTGTGTGGTCAGAGTGGTTAGGAGCCTCTCATTTGTCTTCACTGACGTATATGGACACCAGATGTGCATCATTCATCTCATGTATCTCCGTCTGCAGGGAGAATGTGATGTCTGTGAACTATCTGGAGCATGGAAGCCCAAAATACAACTTTTTCATCTTTTGAATACAATCACACACACAGTGATACAGGATCTGTGTACAATAGTGTGCAGTTGTTTGTTGGCCCATTGACATGCAGCTCATGCTATATTTGGCCCCTTGCCTTGTGTGTCCTTGTTTATGCGATGGCAACCCTATCTGCTTCTCGTTTGTGGGTGTGTTTATGTATAGTGAACTGTAAATGTCAATGTTCGAGGATCTAAGCAGGTATTTCATTGCGCTGTGAACATTTACTGCCGTGCACACAATGGCCATGACCTCAGTTTTCTCTGTTTTGTTACAGAAAAGAATGGTTTGTTTGTTTCTTTCTTTCTCTCTGGCCGTATTTTGCAGACGCTGGAAGAAGCATTGAGAAAAACTGTCAAATGAATAATGAATGTTGAATGATTTAAACTCAGTTTCCTGTTTTCTGTGTGTTGGTGTGTTTTGCAGAAACTCGGCAGTAGCATGCAGTGTGAGGAGGGCACAGAATGGCTGCTGGAGCTGCTGATGGAGGTGCAGTTGCAGCAGTATTTACTGCGGATCAGAGATGACCTTAACGTCACGCGGCTGTCACACTTCGACTACGTGAAGAATGAAGACTTGGAGAAGATCGGCATGGGTCGACCAGGTGAGACGTGCAATTGTGCAAGTTTTGTCATGCTAATGACTTATATTAGAGATTTTACGTTTGCAGGGGATATGTTTTTGTTTTTATGTATTTTCTGCTTGATCCTGAAGAGACATAATGTTGGACTGAACACCAACAAGGCAGTCCCCTTCAAATTCAATCAAGCTACACCAAATTTCACACACTCATAGATATCAGTTCCCCTAATGTGCCTGTTTAATCTCATCTAGATCCATCAGTTATTATCTGAGAAATTACATGAATACTTTATCAGCGTATTAAGATCTATACCTCAAATGGGAGAAACCATTTCTGGAAAAAATTATTTGGTGTGATTATGATGTACAGTGCAGCCAGCCACCAGGGCGCAATCAAGATTTTTTCTGTCATATCGTTCATCTCCGTCATAGAATATGTCGCAATTCAGGGGTTGCATCCTTTAGAGGGTGCGGTCTACCTGGCCCACAGAGACTGCTTCCGTCACAGGCTGTGTCAACCGTGAAGGCCAAACCGAAATGAGACTCATTATTACTGTTGCCTAGCAACAAAGCTGACGTAGGACACAAAGAGAAAGTTTAAATCCCTCTTGGTTTCTGTACGATTAGCTGTTGGTTAAGTTGAAGCATGCTCAAGCATTGCACGTCTCGTCGCTTGTCAGCAGCATTGTCCCTTTGAAAAAACGGGTTTCTCACTGAAGCGCAATGAATCCTGGGTTAGATTGTTGATTGCTAGATCCACTTGTTGGAGCCTTTGTTTCGCTGGGATGGAATTGTCGGCTGCATTTGAATGAGCCTTCGAAAAAGGGAAAGTATAGTTGCGCTACTGTAACACAATTGGTTCAGATGCAGCTTCAAATGCACCTTGTGAAGGAAGCAGCCCTGAATTGAGACACAACTACTCTAAGACAATGAACATGGTTAACATTTCTGTTAACATCAGTATGCTGTCAACTCTGTGTTTGTCAGAATGTTACCATGTTGACCACTGGCTGCAGACGTCCATGTAGCATTTAAATGTCAATAATCTTTCACCTGAGTTTTAATGTTAATCTGTTGAATTTATGTCACAAACACTTTCTGTAGGCGTTTCAAAATAAAAGCACTCTGGCAGATGCACGGCCTCATACTGTATAGTACTGGTATTTATTTGAGTACACAGGACAGTAGTCATATTTATGGCCATAATCCATGCAAAGCCTATGCAAAAACATTGTGCTACAGTAGCAGCTTCTCTGCAAAACATATTGTTGAACTGAGAAGCTAAATAGTGCACATTGAACAGATGCTGTCAATATGAATCGATATTAATGTGAATATTGTGCATTGAATAGATAAAGTAGCATAACTGCCTTTCGTTTTGTATATTTATGCCCGTACATTGAGCCTGTAACAGAATTTGCCAAAATAATAAATATGACCTGCTTAAGTGGGTTTTTTGCAAGATATCAGGGTGGTAGATCTCGGCTTACATTTGGAATTAAAAAGTAATCTTGTGCTTTAAAAGGTGACCACTGATCTACACTATGTGACCTTAAATACTACGTTTGTCTGCAGCAATGGCAGCTTGTCATTTGACTCAACACATAGCAGAGCTGGTGCAAATCCTCCATCACTGATACCCCTAATGTCGTTTTAAAGTCACAACTGGTGATTAGGTACAATAATAGGACACCAGTCTTTTGTCTGTGAAGAGGATGGCGGCAGTAATGTTCTTAATCCAGTTACTGAAACCCTTAGGACTCCCTCGACTGTAGAGCCGCTTGAGTTTAATTACACCCACTTCTCCTGCTCCTGCATTCACTCACATCTCACATCCCTGTACTCCACACTCTACTTCTTTTCTTCTACCCTTTTTATTTGCAGTTCTTTTTAACTACAGCAACAATATGGCTGCTATTGTCTTCACTGTGTGTGTGTGTGGCGTTGTGAGTGTTTAAATGTCTGTGCATAGATATTATCACCACAATAGTGTTACAGTCATTCAAGATACCTCATTTAACTTAAAGGTCCAGTGTGTGAGATTTAGGTGGAAAGGATCATTGGCAGAAATTTAATATTATTATCTTAGTGATGTTTTCACTAGTGTGTTTCATCTTATTGTACGAATTGTTGTTTCTTTACCCTTGAATGGGTATAAATACTGTTTACATTGGGAGCAGGTCTTCTCTATGGAGGCTGCTATGTTTTTTTACAGTAGTACAAACTGGACCTTTTGAGTTTTTATAAAAATTGAAGGTTTTCATGGATCATTTCATGTTTGGAAGGGGAGGGTGAGGTGGGGGGTATTGAGCTGCATTCAACATGCAACTTCACTAGATTTGATTACATTCTACACACTGAACCTTTAAATAGGGTCATAATAAACTGAAGGCTGAGTTTGAAGGTGTGTGTCTGACCCATGAGTATTGAGTGTATGTGTAAATATTTTGTTATCAATACTGAGTACACGCTGGTGTCATCCCAGTGCAAAATGGTCTCTATACTTATTTCTCTTCTCACATTGTTTGAGTACATTCTCCATCTTTTCTTAGAAAGCTGTTCTGAGTGTTGTTTTAAATGATGGTATTGTTGGATATTATTTGAAATTCTTGTAATTTAGGTCGGAAGTGATCCTGTGGGACGGATGCAAGAAGATGCAGCTGCAGTGTTTGTGTCTTATATGAGATTTCCCACTGACCAACACTGTATTCATCCTTTTTCTGTTACTCTCTTGATACAGGGCAGAGACGACTGTGGGAAGCTGTGAAAAGGAGGAAAGCCATGTGCAAGCGCAAGTCCTGGATGAGCAAGGTGACCGATATAGACACACACACACACACACAATCACAGAACATTTATTATGGTACATAGTGTGCTTGACATTATGTGGCAATGTTTGGGTCTGTCTGTGGGAGGCTGAGGTCCAGGAGGTAACTATAGAGGTAGGTGGTTCATGTACCAAAGTGTCCTTGAGCACGACACTGAGCTCCAAATTGCCCCTGTTGTGCCAGCAGTGTGTGAGTGATGTGTGATAGAGAAAGTGTTGCACTTCGATGCTCTGTATGAATGTGTGTGTAAATAGGTATATGGCAAAACTGTGCAGCACTGCTTTGAGTGGTCATTCAAACTAGTGCCTCATTTACATCTCTATATATGGTATAATCACATTTTGCAAATTCTTGCTGAGCTAATTTTGGCATCATCGTTTTTTTAGGAACACAAATATATAAAATGACCTAGACACACTGTATCTGCTGGAATGTAGTGTTGCCAGCAGCACTTCATACTGTATGCTGTTTTAAACTGGGAAATGCATTTCAAGCAACAAATAAATTTAACTGGAGTCTGTTTCATAAAACAGTAGTGACCATTGGAAGGTTGTGGCTTTACTGGTTCATTTTAGGACAAGCTAGAGGCAACAATTTGGGGGAGGAGACCAAAGAGGTTTCTTATTGTTTCTTGCTGCTTGTTTTACTTAAGAAAAACACATCTGTCCCTCACAGATGTGTGAGTCTGTAGGGAACATTCCCCCCAAGAGTACAACAGGGCTTGACCCTTCACATGAGGAGGAGCACGTCCACATTCAGATGCAGACAAACACATGAACACACGAGTCAAGTCACAAGAGCCGGTGACACAGATTCAGTGCACGCTGCATTCACAGAAATGTTCTCAGGAAGCATAAGTCTCTCCCTTAAAGAGACAGAGGCATGCATCATTATTCCTTCTTCACCTTAACACAGAAAACTTGTGTACCTTCTACACAAGTTCACAGAGAGACTGATCTGATGTACCTACACACAAACAAGTGTGTGTGTTGGCTGTTCATAGTGGATGTCGTGGTGCCCAGTGGACGGTGCTTGCCATCTATAATTACACCTGTCTGTTTTCGCGTCTGGCACCATCTTCAGTTTGAGTAATCTGCTTTCTCAGCCTGCTCTGTCTCCCTGTGTGTGTGTGTGTGAGGGAGAGGGAGAGAATTTCGAGCCTCCTATTTGAAACCCACTCACCACACAGTGACTAGAGAGGTGGTGGTGGTGTTTTTAAAAAGGTCTGTAGCATTATGTCATGTCTGGTCCAGTGTGAATGTGAAACCACACACCCCGCTACTGTTTATATCTGGCCAGTCAAATATGTTCGGCACTAGTCATTCATTGACACCTCTTTTTCACTGACGATGCCATTTGTGAATATTGACCTTTGTTCAAAAGCCAATCAAGAATTCATGTCGTTAATTTATTCATGCTTTGAATGAAATATTGTTTCACCTATAAGGAAGAAAGTTTTTTCATTTTTCATTTCTGACACGCTTCATGTTATTTATTGGCAGGAATTATGATGATGTGCAAATTTAGCTTTGTCTGCTACTATCTGGTATCAGCAGCATTCCTATGTGCATTCCTATTTTAGTAAACGGTCTTATTTAGGGCCTCTAAACAAAGCTTTCCCTTCTTGGCTCTGCACAGCACACACATTGTGCAGGTTCACATTTAGGATTTGAAAGCGCTCATACAAACACACGTATGCCAGCACACAGAAACATTCACTAAATCTAATAGTGCCTCCTAATGAGCACTTCCTAACGGCTAAGTCATTCCTGCTGTGTCATCAACGCTGTAGCCAAGAGTCAAGAGATTTCTCTCTCTCCCCTAATGATGAGGGTGTGTTTGATACTTACATTTTGACTGACTGCAGATTCTTTAGTTATTTTTAAAAACACTCCACCATGTGTGTTTTTATGCTCATTCATAACACACATACAGTTCTTTTTCATAAGCCAAATCCAGATAATAAACTCTAGAAAATGTTTTCAGACTTTCTGCAGAGTTTTCCTTTTACATATGAAAGCATCTTAGTCTAATCTTAGACACATCAGCAACACGCCCACTCACTCACTCCTCCTGTTGTTTTGGACATTGGACATTATCTGGATTGTTTTTTAGGTTGGCAGGAGAAACTCTGTAAGTAGTCAGGTGAAGATTATGTAGAGTGTTATGCACATCTGAGAGCAGCTGTATGGTAAGAGTAAGGTCTGTATTTATAGTACTGGAGAACGAGAGATTACTCCGTGTGCCCTCAGGCCCGGATAGAGCCTGTGAGCATGACTCTGCTGTCCAACCACAGGCTCCTCACACTGCACATTCACCAAGTGTCCAGATGCAACAGAGGAGGAGGATGAAGCTCTATGTTTACGTTAAGGGTGAATTGAGGTCGTCATTTGAGGGGTTTCAGCAGCTACAGTGGATTTAGTGTCTCTGTAGGTATGAAGAGGCCCAAACCAAAGTAAGCCACATTGAAACTGTTACTGTCTGGCTCAAGCTTCCGTAATTCTGGAGTGTTTTATCTGGGTAGAGCCAGTTCCACTATACATTTCCGAATGATGAATGACTGAAAGAAAAAGAAAACATACAGTTTTATCAGTGCTGATCATGCAAGGCACTTCCAAATAGTGGTGCCTCATGCAGGCCTCCAACAGTGAGTGGGTCAATCCTATGTGTGGGAGAGGAATGCCAGGGGGTGAGCAGAGGAAAGAGAAGAGATGGAGAAAGTGAAAGATATTCTTTTAAGCTTATAGAAATGGAAAAAAGCAGCTGTTAAAGTTAAGAAGCATAAACGAGTGTCTGGTGTCGTCTCTTTCTGTCCACCCACACTCTCCAGTCCAGTGTCTCCTGAGCACAAAGTGACCGCGCAGATATAATCTCAGTATAAAGCACAAATGTGGAACTTCTCAGGTTTCAGCCTCTAGAGCAGTTGTTGACATTTTTTAAAACTAATATATGACTCTGTATTGTTTATTGACTGTACAATTCAACTCTTTATTGTCATTGTAGTCGACGTAACAAAACACAAATGTTTCTCTCTTCTTTCACTTCAATATTTGACTTTCTCACACATTTCACCTTAATATTTCCTCACTGAACTATTTGTCAGTATGTTTAGTTTCTTCTTCTGTTCCTCTCTAGGTGTTTAGCGGGAAGCGCCCAGACGGAGGAGACATCCCCCAGCAGGGCCAGCCGGCCTCCTCCTTTAGAAAGTTGTCCCCCATGCCTCCCCTGGGCCTGGGGGAGGGAGTCCTGGCCACACAGCCTGGTGGAGGTGGCGGTGGTCCCCTTGATGGGCAGCAGCAAGCTCTGACCTGTCTCATCCCTGAGAAGGACTTGACTTTGTTTGAGAAGCTTGGGGACGGCTCCTTTGGCGTCGTGAAGAGAGGAGAGTGGCTAACACCTGCAGGGAAGGTGGTGAGAAGATTTACACCTGTCATAATTAATAAGTTCTCTTACTGACATGCATGCAGACTGTATGTGACGATGCAACTGTCCGAGTGAGAGGCTCTGGATATTCTCTGGAGTTTCTCTTCTCAGTCCCCTAGTGAAAATGGCAGAATGAGCACATATGAGAATACAACAAGAGATTCTTGCACAGCATGAATTGGTGACATTTCTAACACACACAAAACTTTACCAAAAACCCCAAAAGAATACAAATAACTCAGGATAAAAAACAGATGCCATACACATAGAAGAAACTACTAAAGGTAGTTTTCAGAGCAGTTGCTGATAAGGATAATGAAAAAATACATATATACTGTGTGTATATAAAATGTTTTTCTTCTGCAAGGGTCTCTTAATGATACAAACAGACAGACAGACGGGGGTGAAAACAATACCCTGCTCCTGTGAATGAATCTGAAGCAGTCATGTGAAATGATTTTGACTGTTTTTCCAGCTGAATGTAGCTGTGAAGTGTCTGAAGACAGACGTGCTCAGCCAGCCCGACGCTCTGGAGGATTTCATCTGCGAGGTCAACGCCATGCATTCCCTGGATCACCAGAACCTCATTCGCCTCTACGGTGTGGTGCTCACACACCCAATGAAGATGGTAGTGGACACACAGAAAACTCATGCACACGGGAATGTTGTCAGACAAACACAAGTTCTGTCTCAATTCATGGGCCGCGTCCTCATGAAGGATGCAGCAGAGGCACATTTGAAGGAGCCTTCAAATTGGGACAGTCTAGTTGAGCAGCTGAGATGCAAGCAGTTTTCAAATGCAGCCTCCGAAGCATGCGGCCCCGATCTGAGACACAGCTACAGTATATGCACACGTGGACTTCATCCACTAGTCTAGATGTCTTTTTCTTTGCGTCCCTGTGCTCTCACTTACACCCACACTAACTCTCAGGCCCTCTCTAGGCTTTATGACCTTAAAGTCAATCTGACCCAGGTCAGGCCTCTCAAGGCTTTTGTCATAACAGGAGCTGGTTATTTCATTTATTTATTTGATTAGTTTTTGGACCGTGTTACTGTCACCTATTGCCAGTGTTTCTTTCAATTCTTTTGTTTCTTCATTTTTTCTCACGTTCTCTCTTTTTACCAATTTCTCTTCATCCTCTTTTCACTTCTTCAAATCACACTCTTTCTTTTCTCATCAATATCCTCTATCCCCTGTTCTTTTTATTTTTATATTCTACTATTGATTGCCACTTTCCTCGTTTCACCCACCCTCTCTTTATCTCTCTCCATGCTGTGCAGGTGACGGAGCTGGCTCCTCTGGGTTCTCTGCTGGAGCGTTTGCGATGTGTCCGTCCACAGGGTCCAGTGTTGATCCACACTCTGTGTCAGTACGCTGTACAGGTGGCCTGTGGCATGGCCTACCTGGAGCAGAGGCGCTTCATACACAGGGACTTGGCAGCCAGGTGAGGGCCACAGTGATTTTTAATTTAGACCAAGGCTTCGGCAGCATTTATTTAATCTTCTTTTTTAGGACATTTTGTTACTGGTATGTTGAATCATTTATATTTCTTCCCCTTCTTCTCCACCCAGTAATTTACAGACCATTACAGGGAGACCTGGCACACAAGTAAAATGAGTCAGTTGTTGGCTGCCTGTACTGGGTGGTCTAAGTTAATGGTCTTTCCTAAATTAGTCATTTTCACTCAAGTGTTGAAACTATTCTGATGCTTAATGTCTGGTAAACATGTGTAACTTTAAAGTTGTGAGAAAATGGTGATGAGTTCACATAACAATACTAAACACTTAGATTTCTCTACATGTATTAAAATTCTTGAACATTCAAGTCCTGCTAGTTTCATACCCTCAGACAGTTATTGTCCTCACAGATTCAATATTTATATGTCGCCTACACTGAAAATCTATAGTAGCTCCTGATTGTGGCCATGTTCAGATTGGGATAACAAATATGTTTTATGTCGTGGGATCATATTTAAATGTAACAACACATGTTTCTTGGTCAATTTCTAGAATGATGTTGTGCTTTAACTTCTTTTAGGTTTTAATTTGAATCTGATGTGAATTGTTCTTTTCTTCTATCAACAGACAGTTATCATATAATTCTTGATTGTTGATAATTTTGTATGGAGAAATGCTAAGACTTGTGTTATTGTGCTTTAATCAAAACTTAACATTTGATAGATCAAAATAGTTTAAGCTTAATTCCCCACCAACACTCACTGTCTTTGGTAAAAGATGTATGTTTAAATGTGAAATATTTGAACGTGTTTCTTCAGGAATATCCTGTTGGCCTCGGCTCAGAGAGTGAAGATCGGTGACTTTGGCCTGATGAGGGCGCTGCCTAACAACCATGAGCACTACGTCATGCAAGAGCATCGCAAGGTCCCTTTTGCATGGTGGGTGGACTGAAGTCTCCACACAGTAACTAGAGCTGAACTTTGAAATAATCCAGATTTGAATATGAGCATTTTAGAGGGCAGGGTGTGACAATAACTCACAGAGAATCTGGTCAAAGCTGCATTCCAGTCCAGCTGCTGTCTAAAACATAACTCACTCAGCTTATATTTTGTCTTAACCACATACTCTGGCAGTCAGACGATAAGTCTGTCCTGAAATCTAGAAAAGTGCCTCTTGAATTTATTTTTCTAGATTTGTAATATTAGTTACATTTCAAAACAATGCATCGTTTTAAATCCTTTTTTTCAATACATCCATTTTTAAATGGAGCTTTACCTCTGGACAAACTTGTACTGTAGATAACTGGTTAATGTCGTTTGATTCTTGTTTTCCAGGTGCGCCCCCGAGAGTCTGAAGACCAGAACGTTCTCCCATGCTACAGACACATGGATGTTTGGCGTCACTCTCTGGGAGATGTTCACACACGGTCAGGAGCCTTGGCTGGGTCTCAATGGGAGCCAGGTAAACACAGACTCATATATATATATATATCAAATTCATGATCACAAACAAGATGAATTATCAAAGACAGACGCACAAAATTTAATTCTTTTTTTTTCTCTTTTGTGGTAAAATGTTTATTTTATTTTAGATTCTGCACAAAATTGATAAAGAATGTGAACGCCTCCCAAAGCCAGAGGACTGTCCGCAGGATATCTATAACGTCATGCTGCAGTGCTGGGCACAGAAACCCGATGACAGACCTACGTTTGTTGCCCTGAGAGAGTTCCTGCTTGAGGTATGGAATTTCTTTAACTTGTTACTTTCTTTTTATACTGCTAAAGATTCCTTAATGTCAATGCAAAGCAACTAAACTAAGGACATCAGATTGGTAGGAGCCTGGGCTCCATCAGAATCTATTGCTGCATAAATGGGCATTTAGCTCCACCTAGTGGACAGTTTCAGCAGAAAATGAAAAAAGCTGAAAATAACTGAGAGCCAGTTTACCAAAGGCCCAACTTGTAAATGTTTCCTCTGTGTGTGTGTGTGTGTGTGTATGTGTGTGTGTCTGTGTGTGTTTCAGTCAATGCCCACAGACATGTGTGCTCTGCAGGACTTTGACGAACCTGACAAACTACAGATCCAACTCAATGATGTCATCACCATCATAGAGGGAAGGTGAGTAAATAAAGTTTTAGACGCATGTTACTTTCCAGCTTCACTACTGATAAATACAGTTTTAAATAAAAAAACTGTTAAATATATCTAATTTCAGTCTACACTTAACATTAAAGATATTTGCACTGACATAACATTTTTGAATTTCTATAGATCTAAATGCCCTGTAGCGTAATTTTCAGGCTTCTAATTAGATTGAGTAGGATTACTCGATGCAGACATTAGACCCTTGATTCTCTGTGTCATAAGGTGTGGTTTGTCCTGTCTCATCCTCACTGTCCTCCAGGGCAGAGAACTACTGGTGGCGAGGTCAAAACAAGCGTACTCTTCAGGTGGGGCCATTCCCCAGAAATGTGGTGACATCAGTGGCGGGTTTGTCGGCCCATGATATCAGCCGGCCACTCAAGAACAGCTTCATCCACACTGGACACGGAGACAGCAACCCTCGGCACTGCTGGGGCTTCGCTGACAGGATCGATGAGTAAGAACTATCTTCTTGTTTACTAATTATCAACTTTTAGTGTTTTGTAAAAGGCACCCACAGAGGTTTTTTACATGTTCTGAATATGTCACCATTAAATAATTCATAAATAAGTATATGTATAATATAATTATAACCCCCTCATTGGACCATGATGGTCTTCAGTTTTTGCTGGTTTGTAGCAGTAATAACTATGACCACTAGATGGCAGTGAGATATTATTTTAAATGTCCACCTGCTTATTGCAGCATAATGACGTCCGGGTTATACAGCTTCACTATTTTGAGACTTATAGTAAAATAGAGTGTGTTGCTCTCCTCCCTGCAGTTTGTACCTCGGGAATCCGATGGATCCTCCTGACGTCCTGGGTTTAGATCTCAGTGGGACTCGACCCACACAGCTTCCAGGACGAGCTAAAAGTGAGTAGGACTGTTAGTAAAAACTATGCCAGAGTCATGATCATTATAACTGACAAACACTGTAGAATATGTTTTCTTTAAACTTTTCCACTAACACTAAGATCAAATTGTTAAGTTTGGACTGATTTGTCAGGGCTGTCGCTATTCCTATAAATCAAGCTTGAATGAATTTGTCAATTGGCGCAATTTGCTTTAATATATTCAGAGTCAGATCAGGATAAACACTAGCCGCTGCCTGACTTGGTTGGAAAGCAAGCAGAAACAATTGAACTCACAAAGTCTAAGCTGTAGAACTCAACTTACTTCCACTAGCCACTTCTCAGAGGCTCTTGTGTCCTGATGGTCCACGAGGACAGCTTTTGCTTGATAGCATTCTCCATTTTCATAGCATGACATGGTAACATTACTGGCTTATAGGTCAACAGGAAATGCAATTGGTCAAGGGGTCGCCCTCTGCTGGATCAAACTTCTTCAGCCATCAGGGTTAATTACAGGTCAAACATGAACTTTTCTCCCACATTTAAATGAATGAATTTCAATTAAAAAGTGACTGATATTTATACTGATGTCATTACAATAAAGTTAATTAAGATCTGAATCTGTGCCGTGGCACTGGAAAGATAAACTTCAGACCTTCATTTCAAGGTCTGTTTGATATGATCATAAATCACAGGTATGTTTTCACTTTCTATGAGAAAAAACATTTCAATTTCTTAACTAATCCCCATCGCAAATATAGACCTGGTCTGACTACACATGTTACTGAACCAAATAAATATTAAGGAAAAGAAACATCTTCAGTGTTGTTAGTCCACTTATAAAAGATAGCATTAAAATTAAGGAAAATGTGATGGATAATGATATAATTAATATATTGAATAATAAAGAATACATTAAATAATATAAATACTATAATAAAATAAAAGTTGAAGAAGTGTAGATCTTGCTTCAGAAAAATGACTCTAAAACAGCTCGTGTCTAACATTTGCTTGAAAAGCGTATCTTACATTTGCTCCCTGCTTATTTTTCTAATCTTTAATATTCGCTTCTGTCATATTTTCTCCTTCTCTGCTTTTTGCTGCGGCGGTTTCTGTTTGTATTTCTACAGAGGAGCCTCCTCCCCGCCCTCCTCAACCAGCCGTGTTAATCAAGAGTAAGTCTGGTCTCTCTCAGCAGCTCCTCACCCATTGCTCCTGCCCTCTCTGTTCCCTCCTAGCTCCACTCCTCAAAGGTACATCCCATAGTTGTTGTCTCTCCTCAGCCTGAGTTTGCAGTGATTTTCTTATCCGCTTTTATTTCTTACCTCGCATCTTTGTTTCTTCATCCATCCACCCTTGTGTCCCCCCAACAGCTGTGCAGTGTCCTTGCTGTGCACCGTATGGCTAACTCCAAGTCTTTGTTGGAGCGGAGTGTATTTTGTGGAGTGAACTTGGAGAACCTCAGTGTCTGCACTTTCTAAAACTTTACAGTAAATTAATAAGAGTGTTTGTTTTTGTGTCTGCAGAGCCTTGCTACGATCCCGTAAATGAGGACGAGGATCTGACCTCCGTAGGACTAAAGAGATTATCACTTCGAAAGACTGGTTCTGTCAAAAGCTTAAAAATTAAACCTGCTGCGTGGGTCTCTGCTTCCAAACAGGGGATTAGCCGTAGTCCAGGCTCAGGCTACAACCACAACGGCGAAGTGTCCCTAATTGACTTTGGGGAAGAGTTCCCCCCGTCCACTCCCTCCCCCTCCCCTGTGGTAGAAGTTCAGATCCCCTCTCTGGCGGAGCTGGCTTTGGAAGCTGAGAACATCATGGACCGCACTCCTCCTCAGAGTCCGTCCAGATCGTTACCCCGCCCGCTTCACCCCACACCAGTAGTGGACTGGGATGCCCGACCTTTACCTCCACCCCCAGCCTATGACGATGTCGCCCGAGATGAAGATGATATGGAGGTACGGTAGGAGGTGATACAGCATCTTTCACACTATGCCAAAATTTAATGGAAATGTTATTTGCTTTTGTTATGTTTGTTCTATAGTGGACTGTACTGAAGCCGTAAATTGTTTACATAAGCTGTTTTCAGACATGAACTGTAGAGAATATCTGCAGAATAGGGTCCGGACATTCTCCACAGTTTGCCTTTCAAACATGAAGAGTGCAGCACGGGATTCTCTGGTCAGACACGGTCACGACAACACAAATCTTTAAAGTGTTCAGACGAGAGGTGGCGCAGCCTACAGAGGCAGGACATAGCGTCTCAGTTCTGTTAACACCGCATTGGCCCTTATTACCAAAAATTCTTAAAGCTTGTGGTCTTTGTTTTGTTTCCGTCACGTGTTAGAAACGTCATCAACACGCCTGTGGTGAATCCTGCTGTATTCTCACAAGGGTTCATTTGGACATTATCCACTGTTTACTAGGGGGCAGGAGAAACCTCGGACAATGTCTTTGGCACCTGACTCTGACTGATGTGTTCTCACATGTAGTCCCTCCAGATAATTTTAGGGGATTATCTAGTTCAGAGCATGTCTGAAAGCAGCTGTTGTAATAGTGAGAAATGTCTTTACTCATTCAGGTGAGCTCCATCAACAGCTCAGAGCAGCAGCATGAAGAAGAGCAGAGCGATGTTCTTCACCCAGATGAGGCTGATGTGGCTCCCTCCTCTGGACAGAAGGAGCAGGTTGATGCTCTTGTCTCCAGGGGTCCAGGTCTGGAGGACAACCTCTTCCTCCCCAGCAAGCAGAGCCAGGGCCTGTCCACATCTTTCTCCCAGTCGGCAGAAATCTTCCAAGAACTCCAGCAGGAGTGCATGAGGAGGCTCAACGTACCGAAAGGCAGCGCTGCCCGGTTGAGCTCGCCCTCCCAGACGTTTGTGTTGTTTCCCCACTCTCCTCTGACCCAAGAGGGAGAAGAGCAGAGCGTCTTCTCCTCCTGTGAAGACAAACCCCAAATCCCCCCTCGTGTTCCCATCCCTCCTCGCCCCATAAAAAGGGGTGACTACACATCTGCTCGCTGGTCAAGAGATCTTTCTCTTTCACCGACACCAGCAGACGCCACAGAGGACGTTTCAGGCCTGGATCAGAACCGACCACCTCAGATCCCTCCAAGGGACCCTTTGTCTCAGCCGGGCTCCAGGACTCCCAGCCCCATGGGCCTGTTAGTGGGCTCCCCCCAGCAGAGAATTTACTCTGTCAGCCCCACCACCATGCAGGCTCCCCTTACATCCTGCCCCCCCACACACGCCTATGGCTCCTACCTCTCCACCTCTCCAGGTAAACTCATGCCTACCACACACAGCTTCGCCTCAGATCCTAAATATGCTGCACCCAAAGTGATCCAGGCGCAGGGGAAGGACCCTGCCAGTAAGGGCCCCTGTATCCTCCCCATTGTACGTGATGGACGTAAAGTGAGTAACACCCACTATTACCTTCTGCCGGAGAGACCACCATACCTCGACCGATACGATCGCTTCTTCAGGGAGGCAGAAAGCCTTCCTGCGAGTGGTATGGAGGAAAGGCATGTACGGCAAGCCAACACTGCCACCGTCAGACCCATGGTGGTCAGCAACCAGACTGTCCAGGGACATGCCCAGGGACAGGGCCTTGTCCAGCTGGGTGAGCTGAAGGCTAATTTCTCCTCCAACAATAACAGCAGTCTGGGTGGACCACGGTCAGGGATGAGGACATCACTTAGTCTCCCTCGCGTCGCGTCGGAAGGGTTGACAGCACCAGCCGTCACTGGTTCCTGTACTAGGACAGATGGAGGAGCGAACTCAGCTGACAGGGTCAAAATGGTAAGGTCAGAGAGGTTGGGAGGACCAACTTCTTGAAACACATGTATAATTTTATGCTTTAAATCATTTGCTGAAAAAAACAAACATATATATATATATATATATATATATACATGCATACAACTATGCAATATGCATTTAAATTATAAAGACTCATGTCCACTGCAGTGACCACGATGCGTAAAAGTTAGACAGAGCCATTCATTCTCTATGAGTAAATGTGTAGTTAGGTCATTATCTCACAGCTATAAGTTAAAATACCAGTGATGTTCAGAGTAACTAAACCTTTACATTTAAGATGTTATATATTTCAGTCAGTATATTTATGTTTTTTTGACTTATCTCAGTTTACACTTCCTCTATGAAGACTGACACAGCTTTAAAAAACAAAACAAAAACCAAACATGTACTGTATACATGTATGTTATTGTGCACAGCATGTTGCATTTGTTCATACTTTGAACACAAGGGGGCAACACAAGATAATCTTTATTGGTGTGTGTGTGTGTGTGTGTGTGTGTGTGTAAATTGCTGGCCCACACATTAATGGTGTTTAATTGCTCATATCTCTGGTTATTGATCAGATTACTTCCCTATTCAACTTCACATCTTTATCAGAGCTAACTTTCAATTTGAAGTGGAATTTACAAAAGCCAATGAGTTCGACTCATTAAACTGGTTAAAGTTTTATTTAATATCTGTTGAGTTCAAAACTTGGTTGCATACAAACACGTTTATCCATTGCTGTCACAATGTATAAGTATAACAATGTCTTATTTATGCTATGTCATTGTTCTCTGGAGACATATTAATTTAGCTGAGAATTGTATTTGAAGGACGAGGGACCACTTCTTTTTGCTGACCAATTGATTTTGACAGCGATTGAACCAGATTGAGCTAAAGTCAGAATCACTGCGAAACACTGAAGGCTCCACATTGATCAGCCACTTGGTATTTTGTAGTGGTGACTGAGATCTGTGGCTGCAGTGGGAATATAGGATTATATATAAATTGTACTGCAGAGGAGTTCAATGCAAGATATAGACAGTTGACCTTCATTGGCTGTTAGTTCAAACAATAGAAAAAGAAACAGGAGCTGATGTAACATTGAAAGAATATATGTACAATTACAATTATAGTACAAGTACAAATAAATACTGAAGGAAAAAAAACAAAAAAACATTTGTAGATAGAATTCCTGAAATTCCCATCATGCTCACTTTTTGTGACATTGTGGAAATTAGAGTCAGTTTAAGGTGGATTCAAATAAACATAACCAGTACAGCCCAAACTATTCTAATTATTTTAGTGAAAGGTGGGGACTATTCAAAAAGCCATGTGAATGATGATCAGCTTTTTCAGGTGAAGGTAAAAGTGAACAGGAGCTCTGAATTCTGCCAAAAGTTATTAGTTTTTTCTATGAAAGACCATGTGAACTATTTAAAGTCAAGTTGATACTGAAGATTTCATCATGAGAAAAGGACACAGTGGTGTGTGCAGGTGTCGATGCTGAACGTAGCACTGAGTACAATCAACAGTGGTGAGGAAGAGGAGGCAGTGGAATGTACAGTTAGGTGTTGGATGTTGCTCAGACTTACAGCACTGTTCTGTGATTTAGGTGCAGGAGGCAGTTCATGGTGTTACGATAGAGGAGTGCCAAGCTGCTCTGCAGAACCACAACTGGAACGTCCAGAAAGCTGTGCATTACCTAAAGGTGAGAACATTCATCAAGGCACTTGTGAAAAAAGTGAATTGCAGCCATTTACTGAACCCAAAATTACATCCAGGCTCTCATTGTCTTCCACTTATTATTCAGGCTCCGGTCATGGAGGTAGCCGGTCAATTAGGGTATCTTAGACAGCCCTCTCCCCAGCTACGCTTTCCGAGGCATTCCCAGGCCAGATGAGATCAATCCCTTCAGGGGTTTTAGGTCCACCCCGGGTTCTCCTCCCGGTTGGGTGTGCCTGGTAAACCTCAGAGGTTCTATTTCGAGTTCCCTGCAGATGTCTGAACTCCTCATGCAATCAGAGCCCGGCCACACAACAGAGAAAACTAATTTCATCCGCTTGTATTCACAATCTTGTTCTTTCAGTCAGCGAAACAGTCTAAGTCTAAAGTGGATAAATAATGCATTATACCTCCTGTGCTTACACAATAGCATTATATCAATATATACTGAACTTTTGTTATAATGCTTGTCATGAAAATGATATTGCAATAATTATTGATTTTGATTTAGTGCCTAACCCTATGAAAACCATGTTTCCTGCATATTGGTACTATGCAAAACGTGCATCCACTAAAAGTGAGAATGGTTTGTAGAATAATTGTATGAATGAATAATTGTTTATCCATTAATTCATGCAAAGTGAGGAAAATGTAGAAAGTAGAAATAAAAATCAACATTTAGTCTGAAACGTTTGCCAATTCTCCAAGGTACAGTTGTGCACAGATCCTAACACCGTGTCACTGGTGCTCCAAAATAATGGTCCTGTGAAGTGGATGATGATATTGCAGTTTTGTGGTTATTAAAAGAGGACCAGAGTCCTGATGGTAATGCTGCTGTGCTGCAGAAGAGACCTCAGAGATCCCTTTCACTGCTTCTCAGGTCCTGTTCTATAATAACTTTTTTTTGAACAGGATATATCTGCAAACAAGTGATTGTTCACAGTTCCCTAATGTAGTCTTTACTTCATATCAGGTTTTGGTAGCAGCAACCTTGTCGATCCTTAAGGGAAAATCAGGTCATTACTGCTGCAATGAGCAGGCTATAAATAAAGAGCATATGGAGTCACTGATGTGTTGACAGCAGACCTCAGCACCGTCTTAACCGGCTGCGGCTGGGACCACGGTGGGGGATGGAAGTTGGGGAGTGAGCACGAGGGAACACTTGAGTGCTCCTTTATAGTGGCGGCAGAGTTTATAAGAGCATAACAAATGTAATGCAGAGGTCTCAATCTATGTGACAGAAGTGCTTGAGCAAAAACATTTAGTGTCTATAAAGAATGAAACAAGTTCACAATGTGCTTACTGCAGCAACAACACTCATAATAGGGAGTAAAGGAGATGATATCTGTTTCTCCAGCTCATATAGTAACTTATGCTGTGACCCTTCTCATGCTTGCGCCCTCCCTCACTCCAGGCTTCTTTGTGTGTCTGCAGGTGGAGCAGTTGTTCTGTTTGGGTCTGAGGAGCAGGTCCGAGTGTCTAAAGCTGCTGGAGATGTGTGACTGGAACCTGGAAGTGGCCAGCACGCAGATGTTAGATAACTATGGATCCACAAGGCAGAGGTACTGCACTGTGTCTTATTGTAGTTTTACGGGTCACAGCTTCCCACATAGAATCTAGAACTTTTAATGGACCGTACTCTCTTATTACTGCCCAGCAGTAACTATCCATCTGTCCACTTTATTATTAATTTAGCTTTATCATATTATACAACACCCAGGGTGTCTAATCTACATATTTAATCTTGCATCTGTAGCTTTTTGTCTGTCGTTGTGAGAGGAAATTCTTGGTCAGTTAATTGTTGGATATCTTCCTCCTACCAACACTATATTATTACTTCTAGTTCATTAAGAAGTTAACAGCAGACAGGTAGCAGTGTGACAATGACTCTGTTAACATGTGCACTAATATTCCGAGTATAGGGCTTATCCTGGTTTTGCTAAAAAAGGGTAGTGCCCTTTCTAAACCTGCCTGTTTGGAACAGGCTGTTAGTTTGGCTTGTGCTGATGCTCTGGAGCTACTTCATAATTGATTTGTTATGAATAACTTTTATAATTTTTAGTTTTTGTAAATGTTGTGCTCATCCATGCTTGGTTAATCTGCCATGAAGATTTGATTGTCAGTGTTTTTCCTGAAGTGAAACAGAATTTGCTTTATTAGCGCCAACTTTTGTGACACGTACACACGTTTGAATGATTAACTGAACGGCTGGCTTGTTGTTGTTGGCCTTTTCAGAGGTCTGTTACACAATCAGCACAATTGTCAGACCCCAGTTCTCAACTTTTAAAAGCTCTGTAATTCACCTCGATGCAAACGAGGAAGTGATAAGTAGATAAATATTCAGGATATGGTGTTTGCATGGAACATTGAGAAATCTGGGTATTCATGTCCCCTATACATGATGAACACGAGTGTCCAAGTCACTGTGTGCTGGCACGTCTGTTTAATGTTACCATGGCTACAACAACACATCCTACTGTCAATTTTCAACATGTCCCCCACTTTGGTTGGTGGCATGCTGTCAGTGGTTGAAAATACGCAGCCATTACTGGTGGGATTTGGTCATCATGAGTTCAGTGACACAGAATGGAGAGAACATTTCTGTACATATAGGGAATCATTTTACAGGCTGTCTGTCACAGTTGAACAGTTCATAAGACCATAGGAAAAAACAGTATGAGCATCAGTCGGCACAAGACAGAAACCAGGATAAGATGTATACATGCACCAGTATCCTGGCTACTTACAGAGTGCTCCAGCTAATAAATAGGGTTTGTCAAAAATGGGATAAGGGTTAAACCAGGATACTGAAATCAGGGCTTAAAAGAGGTTTTGATAAACAGTCTATGTTGCAGAGTAAAGTTAGAAAACTTTGTGCTCATCCTACCTTGTTTATCTGCAATGAAACTGTTGTGTGTTCATGATCAACTAGATTCAGTTTTTTTTATCACAGAT